TGGGATTCGATCCTCGGACCGTGCGCGTGATAGTCAGCGCTGTTGCCTCTGCGCACTTGCGTCCTAGCCTCGATATAGGTTCCCGACGAGGCCATCAATATGTGGCTCTGTCCCAGTTGTATTGATTGGACTCAAAGAACGATCACATCCTCGTCGGAGGTGCAGCAGTCCTGGCAAGGCGCCAATCAACTTCTATCGAACGTTTTAGGGCGAAATGAAATGAATGGATGAAAGGAAATCAATAAATGAGACCTTTTTTCCGTTTCACCCTGAAAACTCACGCTTTTTAGAGACCTTTTTCTGAAAAAATATTTGAGAATCTCTCCGATTCATACCTTTCAGCCCCTAACCCATGATTTAGGAAGATCCTACTGTCGATCGAAGGGTTGAGGAAAAGATTTACTGCTTTATTGAATCAATTCATATTTTAAAAGAAAGCGAATTATAGGGTTTATTTGGTCAAAATCAAAGTTTAGGAAACTTATTGACTGTTCGGGTCGCTTTTATGCGCTCACGAAGAAGAACAGACTCGAACATATTAAAAAAATGTTTTAGTATTTGATTACAAAGTTTAATTATTGTATTTCATCAATATAAATGAAAATTTAGTGTTTAAAAATGGAAATTATTTCTAAATATTTCAGAAGAGTTTTTAGAAGATGTTTACAAATGTTTCGAGTGCTTGGATTGAATAAATGAATTCGAATCTTTAAAATTTTAGTTAAGCCATGTATCCATTGTTGGAACGTAATAAACTAACGATTGAAAGGTTAGTAGTTTTATCGACTTCTATTTCGAACCTTATAAATGGTATAAACGCTTATGTCGTAGTTTCTAGTCAGGGTTCCCTTGGGTTACAGGGCAGTTGGATGCGCCTTGCTCGCGATGTCCTCCCAAATCATAGATTCGATTATAAGGTTATAAAGCTATTCAATCAAGGGAACAAAATGAATGTGATAGTATAGTAGGGTAGGGCGCTACGAGTACGAACTAGGCGTTCTTTCCTGAATAAAGTTTCAAATAAATTCTTGAAATTATCCGTTTTCAACTGTTTTTCCTGAATGGCGGGTTTGGGGTGCAAAAATCGACTTTTGGGCTGAAATTCCTTTGAGAGACTCCCACTGGTAGGCTGACAAATACATTGTTCGATAAAATAAGAAATGTAAATCCCTAATACCTTTTTTTTGTTTGCTTAGATACTGATCCAACGTCTATGCCAGGAAATCGGTCTCCCACCTCGGTTTTTCTTTGAGTTGGCTCATGGTGAAAGGACTGCCGATAATCCTTGTTTGTGGTGTTGAATATTTGAACTACGGGGGGTCTTTCTAAAGTACCATCCTAATTCACGCCCACCTGTTAATGTCTGTAAGGCCAAATTTTAGAGCTTAGTTATTCTGCTTGTGCTCCTACTGAGCGGTGCTTTCCTTACTCTTGCTGTTCTTCAGTAACTTTCCTTCCTATCCGCCTTTTTCATCATCATCAATCTCATAGCTATTCTTTTCTTCTTAGTGTATTAATGAATGATGAATAATTTGCACTTTTCAGATTGAAGAAAAAATGGATGCTAATCATCAGCACGAGGAAGAAGTCAACATGACCGAGGCTCAGCCTAACACTCCCTATGGGCTAGGCCCATGCCGTGATGGCGGTGTATGTTTACATTTAAACTTCTTTTCTGTTTACTGTTTGCTTCTAATCAGGAACCTTTCCGCATATAACCTCTTCTGTTCAGGGCGAATGCTACTTGCGAACAAGAGATGCAGTGGTATAAATCCTCGAAAGCCGAATTAGGCAGGAAACAGGAGGAATGTCTCGTCAACGCGGACAACTTACCTCAAAGCGCGTACACTGGCTCGATCAGAGCTCAACAAGCTCGAAATTGAACTAAAAGACGCGCAAACGGAGCTGGCCAGGGAAATACAGGTATGACAAACTCCTTTTGAGACAAACAAATGAATTCAAAAAAATTATTTTTCCTAAATTTAGAGGGACAACGAGCACAGGGCCGTGCATACCCGGTTGACCGTTGGGCTGTGCAATGGCCTCGTACCAACCTCTCGCTGGGCCTTCAACGAATAGCATTGCTTTTATTTATCTTTGAATAAAATGTTGACAAATGAAAACGGTGTTTATTTAGGCAGAAAAGTTGAAGAACTTACAGTACTTTTCGTTGCTTGAGAGAAAGTTAATAACCATTTCTTTTCTTCCTGTTTTTAGGATGGCTAATTACAATGAAATGAGTCATTTTCCAATTTAGAATTGAGATGTCCAACAGACTAGCGGTACGTTTTCTTTGTTCCATGTTCTAATATTGAATCAAAATAGTGAGTAACCATAAAAAAATCGAAAGTTTTCCCTTTTTCAGCCAGAAGTCAATACGTGCTGTAGACTAGCTCCTTCACTGGTGCAAGCTGTCCTGCTGAACCATCACACGGTGGATCGCATGACAATCGAGCTACGCCGCCATGCGAGAATGGAGCGTGAGTCATCTCGGAATCTCATGGAGATTCTGGAGAACCAACTAAGGGAGACGAAACGAACGATAAAGAGGATCCGAGAAGTAAGATTCTATTTTGGTTCCTTTTTTTTGACTTTGAGTAGGATTTTATCAATGCCATTATTTACTCCTATTCCTTTCAGAGGCGTCAGCGACTGTACAAGGACATGGATGACAGTCGCCGTTATCCTGGCGGATCCAGGGATGCGCCTCGGACTCGAGCTGAAGGAGCTGCAGGAACAAACTTCAAGACAGCAATAAGTAAACCACTTTAAGTTGCATTTGAATAAATTTTTTCAATGAAGATTGTTTGGTTGTGATTGAATGTACTAAGTAAAGCACACATAGAGAGTAATTGGCGTTATCGACTTACTTGGAGGTGCGCCATGCATTTATCTACCTTGCGCGATTTTCTAAGTGATGTAAACCTATCTGCAGGTTTACTTTCTAGTTCAGGTCAATGTTTGGAATATCTAGGGTTCTTGATTGACAGATACATCTCTCTTGTAGATGTAAGGGATCTGGGTTCTAATCCTTTTTGTGTAAAGATTTGTGGAGACTTATGCAAGAATTACCGTAGTCTTACGGTGTAATACAAACGTTGCGTTCTACGCTCGGGAACGTTATGTAAGATGACACAGATATTCCGCTTCATAGCGGCTGTGTTATGGTATGTTGCCCCAACGGGTCACAGAATGTGTCATCGCCTACGCGGTTATGCAATTTATCTTTTTGCTAGCGCGACTGCTACAAAAATTTGCTATCTGTAGAAGCGGCTTAGCGGCGATTGTTTGCCCGCATATGCATTAGCAATGCATCTTTTGACTATCCATTGGAATTTGGCAAACCTGAGAGTAGCTAGTTCTCGTTAATTGGTACCACAGCTGCACTGACATTTGGGTCATTGGTGACAGCTGATTAATTAGTCGACTTAATGCGATCGAGTCCTTTTGAGAAAAATGTACGGCGAAAGCAGTTTTGGCTTTTTATTAATTGAACTCCATGAATTATTCTAATAGAGTTATTGTTAGCTCCATAAACTCAAGCAAAATGTTTTGTTCCGCTCCAGAACCATCTGAGAGGAACGAGTGGAGGAGACCTCTTAGATCAAAAAGAAATAGTGTTTTCTTAATATCCAAGGTTCCTTACTCACTAACTATGCTGGTTGTTAAATGGAGCATCAAATTCGATTGGCGCGCTTTTGTGTTCATGTCATGTTGAGTAGCCGTGAAGAAAAGAGGATCTCGTCGCCTGGTTTGTTTTATGCTATTGCAGTTCAAAGTTATGCGTTGCCAATTCGAATTAAGTATTGAATAGTGCTTTTCATTACACTGTAATCCAATTTTCAAAGAGGGAAGAGAGCGTCCTCCTCTCCCATGTTTTTTTTTCGGACCTTCCGGTCTGATATTTTGTTTTTTTTTATTATATTGAAGGATTAAGTATATACTTGGAGGTTAAATATGGGTTAAATATGTTTCAAAGTGAAAGAAAACATCTTTTTTTTTCTTCGGATCTGCCGATCCACTCATTTTTATTTTTTTTTATTATATATTCAAAAAAATTCAAAGAATAAGGTACCTGTATACAAATGGTCGTCCTTCCTAGGCGTTTGTTGTTCCTAGGGTCTCCGTTTGGTAACGCGTTTACCAAGACGAAGAGGAATATTGTGGGAAAGTGGGGTGTGGGGGGGTATTGAAAGAAAAGTTACACTCCCTTGTAATTTTGGTATGATTTATTTGGAAACTACTGAAAAAAAACTGAAAAATTATCTTCCCATATTCATATCAAGTTATTGGTTGATCAGACCCTTACCTGAAGTGTGTAGCGGTATTTTAGGAGATACAGAACAAGTTTAGACTATACATATTTATTACTTAATAGAAGAATATAAGATAAGGGAGAGAGGGGAATAAGGGGAGTGAGTGACGGCGGCCTGCTGACGACTGGCGAGCCTCTTGCTCGCGACCAACGGGTGCCAGCTGCTTGCTTCGGCACCGTAATCCGGGCGCCGTGGGTGGCACCTTTCCCATCCAGGGCAAGGATGTGACAACCGGAACATCGTAGTTACTCTCCTGCAACACAAGACCGTTCTTCACCGTTTTGTGCTGCAAACCTGCCCTAAGCTGATGAAGCAATCAAGACCCACCCCAATTGTTCAAAAAATCACGATAAAAACGCCAATCCGCGCTTTTTCGTTTATCTCCATAACTCAAATTGTTTTTGTTTGTTTTTTCTGGATAGGGTTTTTGGAAGTTAGATTAGAGCTTACGTTAGCTTTGTTCCAAACATTACTTTCGCGAAGCGCAGAAAAGAGCTATCTCTGTAGAATAAGCACGGTTTTTATTGGGGCCAGAATGCATTTCACTTTTGGTACCTAGCATTTTGAAAAGATATCGCTCGATAATGACATCTGAGAAAATTCACTTATTTGAGAGGAAATCGGTACCAAAATGATCATCGTCATACAAAGAAACCGAAAGACCTATTTTCATTTCCATTTCAGATTGAAGTTGCAATTTTATAACTCATTCTATGCGTCGAATTAACAGAATGCCTCCCATAATTATAGCGAGCGTCGCTCGCTGAACAGTATCCGCAGGGGCTTTGATGGGCCTAATGCCTTGACGACGACAACTGACCTCCCAGTTCGAGCTACATTGTCGAGAAGTATGATTTCGCAATCGAATAGTGATCCTTACCTCATATCGATCCCCTTTGACACAATGCTTTCAAAACACCCGCAGTGGAAGGCTGCTTGTCTTGTATAGGTCTCAGTGCTTAATGAGTACTTCTTTAACCCATAACGGACGGCGTGCGCCACATGGTGGCGCACGATTATTTCTTTTGTTTTTGGAATGTTTCTAGCAATCTTAATATACCCATATATACTCTCAGCAATGTGGAATAACATATCTTCCCAGGACCTGGACGGCTGGATTTTTGACAAACCTACAATAAATTTTACATACATTTTGTCTTAATTTACATAAGTTTACTATTTGATGGGTGGCTTACCCATGGTTCACACGTCCCGAGACCCCTTCCCCTAAATATAGCCACATCCTTGCTCGGGGTTGTTGTTTCGCATTTTTCGATAATGTCACCTACAGCTTCCATTCATTCTTTGCACCCTAGTTTTAGAGCGGAAAGGCGGGTTACGAAGTTGTCGTCAACGGAAATCTCTTCTTTTGGATGATGAGACAAGGACACCTACTTTAGCCCCGTCTTAACCCTGCTGTTCGCATAAGCCTACATAAACCCTACCCTGTGTGGCGGCCGTCCGTTATGGGTTAAATTCACGATATGCCTGGCATTCTCTGCAGTTTTTCGGGCTATTTTCTACACCGTAATCTTTTTACATTGCTTCTGGTTTGCCTGGTAACTCTCTCTCGCAATGGCTGTTTACAGTTCTTTCTACCATCCAGTCAACTGATGCCATCCTTTTGTTTTTTCCAGTATTTTTAGAAAGAAATATTATGACCAGTACCAAAAGAAGAAAAGGAATGAAAGGAAATAGAGGAGGAAAAAAAGTACCGAAAGGAGCTGGTAAGCTCCGTTTTGGATTTTTTCATCATCACTATGTTAGGGTTCGCTTCATAAGAGGGGGGGTTCGTATACCAGTAGCACTACTTTTTTCCAATGCATCAAACGCGTTAAGTGTCTGGCTGGAACCCTAAGGATTCACTATGGACATTGCGGAACACTTATTGGGGTATTTCCTCTTTTACATTCATGGCTTCGATGCGCTCTGGGCCCAGAGAACCAAGGAGATCATACTGGGATTACCCAGATCGCGTTCGAAAGCTGGTTGCCAGTACTAACTGCCAGAGCCATGGCTTTTAGAGGAATCGTTTGGAGTAACACAGATTGTGGTACACGTCCCTCCCTTTTATTAAGAATCCATTTCTGGAGACTTCGCCCCAGTTCCACGGGTTGTTTACGTTGAGTGGAATTTCACTGATCGTAAAGTCGATGCCAGAAATGGGTAAACCCCTCAGCCGCTACCTGCACATCGCGATATTTCGCCATTCTGTACTTGCCAGCACCATTTTCCCCTCAGACGCACTGCTTGTAGCACGGCGTACTCCTGGCTCTTCTGTGGAAGGTATGGAGCTAACTTAGACCTGTACGTCACTTAGTGACAGAAAGAAGTTTTGCTCAAGCTTCAATCGAGCAACTCTCCGCATATACAGTAGCGGTCAAAGTTTGGAAACTTTTATTTTTGATCTAGCGCGGCCGACACATAACGAAATTGTCCAAATTTAGATATTACATACAAAATCAAGTTCAGAATACGACGGGAAGAATAATTTCCAAAAACCTATAATCATGTTTGAGAAATAAGATTTTTTTCAAGTAATGGCGCGTCAAAAGTTTGGAAACTTTTTGTTTCCCTCATCATTATGATTCCTACTCTTCAATGTTTACTTGTTTCTGTTAATTTTAGTTCAACCATTGAGTAATGTGTAATTTCAAAATGAATTCATATGCAAAGGAAGCAGTTTTTCCATGGGAGGTCCTTTTTTAAACCCTACAATCCGGAATACGAAATTGAAATTGTTTCTTAGTAGTTCAGTCTCTACGGAAGCAATATTATCGAATGTTTTTAGCGTTTTTGGAGTCGAGTAAGCATAAGAAGAATGATCATTCACAAAAAAGTATCCTCACGAGAAAATTGGCTGGTATCCCAGCAAGAAGCCATTGTTGGGCTTCAAGGGCAGGATGGCCCAACTGGCTTCCGCACACTAACGGCTAACATGGACCGAAGGCGAGAGGTGAAACTTTGTCCTCAGCGACGAATGAGATTTCTATCTTCCTAGAAATAATGTTGTGGACCCTGTGAAGTGTTTTGTCAAATGGGAACCTCATTTTGAGTATGATTCCAACAGTCAGAAATAGTGGAAGTATTGTCATGGATGAAGATGTGTCCGACCATTCGGCGATTCCCCAGTTCTAGGTATCCAGCGAAATGTGGGTTGGGCTAAGTACAAGTATAGTCTGTAGAATACAATGCTTCCTTCGATAGTCAGAACTAGCCGGAAAAGATGGGTTTTCTATCGGAAATGACCCGAATGCAGGCCTACCTCCTCACTGCCGCCTTCCTAAACCCAGAAAAAGAAGCTGCTTATGAAGCGACCAAGTCAAGATCTGAAGTCTAATTGAGTTCTACATCCCACGGAAGAAGTGGCATGTCGCTCAACCCACGTTCCAGTTAAGAATCCCACCAAACATTGAGATTGAGTCGGCCCTCATCGATTTGAGTCGTCCCTCATAC